TTGTGATGGAACCGAAGTAGCCCGCTAAAATTCGATTTAAATATTCCCGAATCCGAGCCTGGCGCGACGAAAAAGGTCAAGATTGCGCTTTGTTTCGTTTTCGTGGAACGCGTGTTTTTTTCTTCTCTGCTTTACATTGAAAGGGGCCATAATTTACAATAAAAGTGTCAAATATTACGCTATGCGAGCTAGGCGAGGATATTAAATGATCCGTATCGACCCGTCTCGAGGCACGTTCGATTTTAACATTTGTTTTCGTCTAGGATTTGTTTAAACAAAAAGGGGGAGAATGCGGCAGAAGTGTGTGTGCTTTTGTTGAGACCAGAAGTAAATCTTTACGTTGCGAATAGTGAGTGCAGCTTCGACAATTACAAAGGTGATGTACTCGTTTTATTTATCTCTACGTCGATTGCACCCCTCTAATAACGATATGATCGTGTTCGATTATTTGCCAATTTAACTTTATTCTCGTACAGCATTGATTATTGCCATTTATAACACATTCCAGATACAAATTGCAGTTTTAATTATACTGTTTCTACTGGGTAATTACTGACCGATTTACGTGTTTTTGTTTATATTTAGATACTGTATGTTCCCTTAGGGGCGATACCCAATACAAGTATGCAGAACTACATTTTAATTTATAATTGAATTTATTGCAGCACATTTCGTTTTTGTTTACCTGAATATGTTACTGTGTATTTACAGGGTGCCTTCATCTGGGGGCGAGTGACGTACGTTAGGTGGTTGATTGTTACATATTGCACTTGGCATTGTGAATTAATTACTTGATACCAATGTTTGCCACGACATGTTCCTTTGTATTGTTGTAATGTGATAGTACATAAAAGTTATGCTCCTACTATTTATTTGAACCGGGTGATTATGATTATTAATATTTGGCAGGGTGACTTGTTTCGAATATGTACTGTGCTATATTTGATACCGATATATAATCTCGATTTGACGTAGCAGAGGCTGGCTAAAGTTCAGAACTGACATACGCAGAGATGTATATTTTATGTACTGTTTTTTTTGTTTGTTGTGTCTTTGAAAAGAGCCATCTTGCCGATATTGCTAATCAATTCGTTTAGTCGATCCCTGTCATGTAGTGACCGAATATTGGTTTTGTGTCAGTCTTTGTTATGCCAGTGCAAATATGTCGACTGTCAACGCCTACATAAATTGTGTATATTTTGTTTATAATTTGGTATGCGTGCGAGTTTGCCGTTGGTTACTCTGTTATTTATGTTATGTCATGATTTGTCTTTTGATCGGTTATTGTCAGTACTCATGGTAGAGAGCCTGGAGTTCGGTAATTTATAACCCGGCATTTTAAGACTAGTGGGTTGGACTGGCCCTAGAGATGTGTGAATGAAAGAGTTGGGGTCCCGCGTAGTCGTACATGAGGGCGCAAGCAAGTCCCGGCCTCACTTGCGCAGGGATCTGCTAAAAGCGTACGGCGTGTTCCCGTTGTGCCCTTTGTTTTTTTGTATCCATTGGGGTATCCTTCCTGTGTGAAATGCTCTTATGAGAGGCCAACTCCTAGCGATTTCATACAATGTTGACATGTCATGACCAGAGCAACTAAAGACTACTCGGTGTGGGATTTGGACTGATCACCCAATATCCAAACTTATTATGTGAATTTATTGTACTGTTTTTATGATTGTTTTTTTGTTATGTGTGTAAAATATTGATTCTTTAGGAATTCCAGTGGAGCCTGGGATTCGACATTGTATTGATGTACTTGATAACATGCATTTACGCCATTACAAACAACTAATTTTTTTTATCCTATACAAGGAGAAACTTACATTTTCTCGCCTCTGTGAGGACGCGAAAGAAGACAATTGCACGCATGGAGCGAGAAAATTCAATTTTGTCGGCTAGGCGAGAAAAAAAATACGCCTTATGTAAGCTAGATGGCGCGGTTGTAATAAAATGTCAAAGAAGTGAATTCTTTTTAATTAAATAAGAAACATAAAATCGTCAACACTCAACACTGATTTAATAATTAAATTTACCCTATGTTCACTTTATTTTACTGAATTCAAGAATTTATTTAATTACCGCGAACCTATACCTATCAATGTTTCGTGAATTTGAATACTTTCCCAATATCACTTGACCAATTCAAACGTTTCAAACTCTCCCATTTACTTTCAATAACGAGCATCTGTATCAATACATTTAACACCAAGATGTACTTTGCACTGTAAGTAGAACACCGTTTATCCGCAATAAGTAGCATTTTAACTACGAGACTATCCCGAAGTTAAAATGTGTCCAGTGTTACTGTAAAGAATGAATAAATCTACTCGTATTTATAAAACACATTTTTTAAAATACAAGATCATCAAGGATTTAAAGTGTGCCCATTGCGCTTTCGTCGCCAAGCATAAATCCAGTCTTAAAAGCATCTAACATTTGACAAGACATGGATACTGCGAAGGATTTAAAATGTAACCGGTGTGATTTTGTCTCTGAAAACATACATTCAATTTTAAAACACATTTGTTAATACACAAGACCAGTAATAATTTCAAATGCGCCTGGTATTAATTACAACCCCTTAAATCCCGTTATTTTCTAAGGAAATAATCACGTGCCAGTGAAATGCCGGAAATGTCAACTCAGTTCGCACAATGATCGGTATTCTCCACTTGCATCTCTGCTCTGTTGCACCGTGACTCCCTTCGGTGACTCCGCACTGTGCAATCGCAAGCGCGCTAGAATTTGAATTTGCGTTGTACTGTATTATAAGAGAAAGGGGTAGATCTACGAGTAAAAAATATACTCGTGGGCCCACGTAGATTGCACCGTTTCGTAAAATTTTTTTCGCGTAGTCAGCAGGAAACGTGGAAATAAACAAAACAAACGCGTGCACGTTGACGCGTTAAAGCAAATCCAAATTCAAGCGCTTGCGATCGGACGTTGTTGAGGGATTAATTTTAAATGTAAGTGTATAGGATAAAAAATATTGTGTGCACCACGGCACGAAAGTTGTTTTCCGGGCCTCAGGAAGTGGCCAGCCTCGGCTGCGCCTCGCCTGGCCATGTCTTCCTTCGCCCCGGAAAACAACCACTTTCCCGCCTTGGTACACAAAGTACTAGTACTATTGCTATAAAGTTCAATATTAATTTGTTGGCTGGGTTTTTTCTTGGTCAGTTCTTTTTTTCCCAGCCTATTTTTATATTTGTACTCGGTGAACTACCATTTTCTAAATTTAATCTTGCAATGCTAATTATTTGGATTAAATCTCCGTTTTTAAAGCATGTACTTGTTTTATTTGTATTCCTTACTTGATCCTCACTCCGACAGGCAGCACATATCTTGTAGCGACTCTTAAAAACACAACGTAGTAAATGGTCCTATTATTTGGTTATTCAGTTAGGTAGCTTTGTCTAGACGATCACGTGCCATGGGGTTCAGTTAGTTTGGGAGGGAAAGTTTTGAATTTAAATCTTGAGTTGCGCAGTCCCTCGGGGCTGGCCTGGGTACATCACAATGTTAATACAAATTAAATCCAATTTCGCACAAAACAAAACTGAGTAGTGTATGCAGGAGAACACTACTGATTTTCGCTATAAATTTATATTGTGCTCGTATGTTATGATACCTTGAGTTATAAATATTTACAATATACCTACTCGCTTTTATGCCCCTACTTTATGTTTGTCAATATATAGCTCTCTTCAATGTATCTATCTCATCTTTTTTCTTTTTTATAACCCATACAACGAAGCGTCGTAACTACATGAACGCTTTTACGTTC